ACAAACACCACACAGACACTTTATATATTATCAATGAAATATTAATTTATTAGTTTGATAACCAGACTGACATACATGTTGTTTTGTACATTCCCATCCCTAAACTAATATGACTACCTTGTGATATACATTTTATTATTGACAACAGTCTACAGGGCTAATGTGTATTTAAAAGTTTAAAATTCCTGGACTTTCATGGTTTCCAATCACTACAACACCTTACATGTTAGACAACATATTGTCATGGGCACTACTAATAAGGTTTTTCACAAAGATGATGGACTTGTTTAAATTTATTTGTGAAATACAACACTTAATTGTAATCATAAGATGCATGCTGTCAATGATTTTCCGCAACTGTTCACAAAAGTCCATGATTTTCCAGGCCTAGAAACTAAGTTCCTATCGCAAGACTCTCAGTGGGTCTGGATTTTGGACTGAATCATATTAGTACCAAGACCTTTCTTCACTTCTCTAAGTKAGGAGGGTCTGGTACCCTCATACCCAAACCCCCCCTCGTTCAAGAGAGGAAGGAGGGCTTGGGTTTTAGAATGCAATGCAGACAAATCATTTATCTGACAAACTAGTGGACCAAAGCTCCTGATATTTTATATCACAATTTTTTAAGAGCCAATAGCTAGTACTCTACCTTAGCAAACTATTCAAAAAAGACAAAATTAATTTCAGCTTTAAAAATAATTTTTCCTATAATAATAAATAACTACTGTATATTGAGTAACTTTGCTATATCTTTAGCTTCCATTATTTTTTGCTTCTATTTATCTACTATCTATACATTACTGTAATATCCATAAATATGTGAAAGCCAATAGTCATTAATTGTTATTCAGTTATGATATGAAGAGATACCTTTAAGCAGTTTGATAAATTCTGTAAACTTTCTACTTATAGAAGCAAAAAACGTAAGACCAGTTAGTCTTCAAAAGCTTTCATTAAGTGGCTTAAATGTGAAATTATCCCACAATGTTTAATAATGTACTTCTCGCCTTTCTTAAAAGCAATATCATAAAATTAATATCATAATATATTATTTTATTACATTTCGCTACCATCAACATCAAGRTTGACGTTGATAGAACTTGGGTCAAATTCTTCTCCTGTAATTCTTCTGTACATATCCATGATGTCTTCACATGTTGTCTCAAAGTGGGTGGTAGCATCRTAGGACTTGGAGATGAAGATCTACAAATACAAAATAATGATTTATCAATATTATCTCTAATTTTAATATTAATTTACTAATAGTCTGTTGGCGGTAGTCAGCTAGACAATAAGCTTCCAGTGGTGTGTAAGAGGATTTATTAATATTATCTATAATTATATGACTGTATATTGGACCCTGCGCTCAGTCTGTACTTTTGTCGGCAGTCTATATAGACCATGCACTCCGCTAATAAGACCTAATAAATGCATGTGACACAAGCTTTAAATTATCTGGGGGTTTGTAACTAAGACCTGTTTTAGTCATCGCTCTTTTGTCAAGTCTAATCTAATTGGTGGAGTTGAGTTCATGGGCATTTTGTACTCTGAACTTATTTACATTTAGTAGATTTTGTTCATTTGGACAAACTTACTATGATCYGTGAATATCAATCAATGTAGATTGCAAACTTCTTGAGAATTGCATGTAAGCAATTAAATTAGACATGACAAAAGATCAACGTCTGAAACAGGACTAGAGCAGATTTCGTATGAGTGGTAAACGGACGGTACTGTACTGTGACCGTAATCGTACTGTAACCAAATTCTAGTGCCCCATTGKTTCACCAAAATTCTGCAGGCCAGGTGYGGWAACTGTGCGGTAACYGTGCGGTAACGGTGTCCCACTCATATGAAATCCGCTCTAATAGTGCTTAGTGGTATAATGGTGATGTTTCCTTTCTCTTTGCCTTAACTCAAAGTGGAATTATTGTTTCTTAAAGTGAAGTCAACAAAGTTCGCCCTTTTTATTCTTCTTTATCTTTTACGCTGCCAAAGAAAAACTTCCATTGATTAACTTTACACTAACCTTTTCATCTGCACCATCACTGATTGGCTCATAGATATTRGAGACAMTMAAGAACTTCTTGTCAATGTGTCCAAGCATRTTCAGACCTGGTTCTAGTTCTTTCTCTGGGTTGTCAGTCTCCACCGTMGTRCTAACGATAGCAAGGTACTTGTCTTTGGGTGTGACGTAATTAGTGTGTGAAATACAGCATACGAAGATATCTATAATGACAGTTATTTTTTCTAATCAATATTTTTCTGTACCAGAGTCGTAAAAAAATCACATATCACAGAGGTAATTATTATAGTTACTCACAGGGTATCACAGTACAGTATGCATACGAAGATATCTATAATGACAGTTATTTTTTCTAATCAATATTTTTGAGTACAAGAGTCATAAAAAACATTATGATTATTATTACTAATTTCTAATTATAACTAAGAAATATAAAACGGCGCGCGTGTCTCTGTCCTCTGATATAAACACGGTGGGAGTTCGAAAAACACAAGAGAAGCAAGCTTAGGAACACAAGCGTAGCGAGTGTTTCTCTTGCTTCTCGAGTGTTTTTCAACTCCCACCGTGTTTATATCAAAGGACAGAGACACAAGCGGCTGTTTTATATTTCTTTTATAAAATTTTTTGAGCGAAAAGAAAATTTTGCCGGTAAGCCGTGTCTAAGTCCTCTGATATAAACACGGTCGTCAGCCAATCAGAGCGTGCGTTATATATCAAAAATTTTATAATAACTAATATATAATTATTAATATTTCACATTGCATATGCTTCACCTGACTTCCTGTTAACCTGGTTCTGTGGAATAATCAGCTGACATGACTGGGAATCAGAAGTGGATGGGATAGGATGGGAAAGAATGCAAATGCAACGGACAACTTGTCCCACTTTCTTGACCTTGTCAGTGAAATAAGAAGGATCACCAATCACTCCTTTTGCTTTGGCTGTTTCCCCTTCTGAAGTAACCAAAACAGCACCACCCTCMACAGAGATTTTCTCTACTGGTTTGTTCAGCATGAAGGTACCACCCCAGACTGCCGACAGACGCGCAAAGCTTTGTGGGAGYTCTCCAAGGCCATACACAGGGTAAAGGTATGGAGATTTGCCATACCTGGACAGTGAATTGTAATAAAGTTTAATTCTCTTGATTGTTTCGCCACATGGTTTGGCCTTATGTTCATCGTCGAGATACAGWGCGATTGCATGTCCAGTGAATTCTGCCGTGTAYTCACTAAGMCCAAATTTCGCGTATACTTCGTTCATGGTTGCTTTCTCRGGGTCACAWCCTTGCCAAGTTGAYGGATCGTCAAAYTCGTAGCTTARAGCAAAGATCAGAAAGCTTCGGAAACGTCGCTTTTCAAAAATACCCATCAAGCCGGATGACAGAGCTTCTTTTTCATCGGCAGGAACCTTATATATGGTTCCACCGAACGTGCCTTGGTAGAAGACGTAGCTACCTTCGATTTGCTTAAAGTTCATGTATTTTGTAACRCCAGTGTGAACTAAAAGCTTTACCAAGGCTCCATTAGCCATTAGGAACTTGGGAATAAGGTCGACGTTGTAGTCCCTAACCTCCCGGCTCTGCTCAGGAACATCAGGCTCTTTGAACGCCTCGTAGAGCTGGTCAAGATGRAGAGAGGCACAGTCCGCGCCATAGTATTCGTTTCGATCTATTTGTAAGATTTTCTTGCCYTTCACTGACAARAGACCACTCAAGATRCATTCCTTAAGACCWGTTCCAAGCACAATGTAGTCGTATTCTTCATTCATGTTGAGGAAGGTGGAGTTTTTTCGCCGTAATTTTGACCGAAAATTCGCCGGTTTTGTTCACCTGCGGGTGTAATCTTATTTTCTTTTTTCAAAACACCACCTATGCGCATGCTCACCCACYGCTGGACCATAAATTTATAAACGACTTTTGTCGGCACTTTTTAACCAATCAAAAGTCTTGTTATATTCCACTAAAAAATTACTGAAGAAAAATCTTTGATTTCTGATTGGTTAATTCCAGAAACTGRCCAATCAAATCGTTTGTAATATTGACAGGATTTCACAAGCCACAAGTACAAGTTTAYCATAGGTTTTATASCAGGAGTTGTAAATTCAMGAGTGTTTTTACCCGGTTAAAGSCKTTTAAGCAAAAAGAAAGAAAAAATCTACTTGTTTAATACCTAAACTTCAACTGCTGTTTATATTTTTAGTGCAAAATGTGTGGTAAGTGCATAAAATTTTACCCGTTTTGAAATGTCAACATATRAGTGCCAACGTGGACGGGTTTACTCGGAGGCGAAGCCCTGTTTTGATATTTTGGAAGGTGGTTTATTAAGAAAAGTAATGTTTATCYTCGTGAACTTAAACAATATTTTATTCTTTGTGTGTTCAAAGCTATATGTTTATATTTTACAGGTATATTTGCTTATTTGAATTTCTGCGTGCCGAGAAAGAGAAAATACATTTTRGAAACTTTGATCAAGGGACTCAAAAGATTGGAATATCGTGGATACGATTCTGCAGGTTGATTTTTCTTATTCCTTWAAAAATAAATTATATTTTGCATACAGTACAATAGCTAACTTCAGTTTTTGCTCAATGCTATAGGAGTTGCATATGATTCAAACGATAATAGTTTAAGGTAAGCTTTAAGTTATAACTGAATTTCTATGAATTTCCGCGCAAGAATACGATCTTGCGGAAATAGTTTTTGCGAACTTTCACAAAACTTTCTTTTCTTCGTGAAATTTACTTTATGTATTTAATAGTCATCAGTGGTCACGCTTTGACGATTTTGGAGTAAATTTTTATATTCGAAGTAATATTGTTTCAGCCATTCTGTGTCACACCTATGTGCAGTCACCTCCATCTCCTGACTATCATGCAGATTACGTACACTGTTCCGCTAAGCTACGTTTTCCACGTAAGCGCGAAGTCCACGTTGACGCAATAACGTCCGGAATTTCAACAAGTGTGGGCGTATCACAATTTTCCTATAAATGATAATATTCGTTGCTTTAATCCTCGAGTTTTAATAAATCATTTYTTATATTTGCTATAATTCGCTAGCATTAATTTACAGTGAACTTTTAAATATTTCTTTTTTTCATTTTTTATTTCTTCAAATGCCAATCCCCACCCCTCCCCTCCACACACCATACAATGAAATTTTATGAAATGTTTGATTCTGAAGAGCATCATAAAGATATTCAATATCATTTTTTTCTGGTATATCTAAAGATGTACAACTGCATGCATGAGACATTGAATATCAAAACCATGAAACAACAGTCTGTAGTACTTTTATTATGTCTACAACTCCTTGGCAACAAGTTTTGACCAAAAAATAATATTTTTTATGAATTCTTTCATAATTTTTCAATAAATCAATGCCTACTATTAACTTTCTCCTGCAGGCTTTTTTATTAAAATCTTATATATAAAGTTATTAAGTTGATATAAAGTTTGTGATCCATTTCCATCTTTTTATGAATCAAAGATTGTTTAGTGCACAGAGATGGSAGTAATTTTTATTTGATGTGCAGTTAACAATAATTCTAGATACCAAATTTTTGATACATGTAATTTTGTTATAATGATTTCTTTTGTGTTAATGAATTATTCATGAATTTGACGTCTATGAAAAGTTTGTCTGTTTGTGTCATGTGCTTAAATATTATTTTTAATAGATATATGTTAAAACCTATTTATRATATCATATTACCCTTTTTCCCAAGAATTAGAGGATGTGGTATATTCTTACTTCTAGGAAYTTTCCTTTCATTTAAAAACAAGCTGAAACGTGATGTTTCTTTTAGTAATTGAGATTATGTTGTCATCACTGAAACTATCAAATGTCTAAATATAATTATCTTGCACAATATTTTGTTTATAAATAAATATTAGTACTTGAATTTTCATGTAAAGGCAGGGCTTCTTAAAGAGCCTTAAATGTATTATAATATAAAGTATTGTATGTTAAGATGATGAATTTATAAATTCTCCTTAAGATGATACTGTCAGTGATAATAATTATTTGCCTCATTACCCTAGACTAATACGCCTAAAGAACTATTGAGAATATGTCTAGTGAATCATAACAAATATGACCTCAAAGTATCATAATTTAATATTCATTTATTTAGCAGACTATTAATATCTAAACGAAGAAAAAATATTGTAAACTCTGTAATTGTTCTCTCTGAGCATAGCAATTTAGGAAACAAAGGTGGCTATGACGTWAATCACAGTAATAATATACATTATTATCTAATATTGGCTTTATGGAAAAAACTAGACRAAAAAAGGTTTAATTGTAAAAGGAATCTAAGTGTCTGTAAACTGTAAACAACTATTATCTTGTTGATAATCCCAGGAGAAATAGGAGTATCATTATGATACTCTAAGTAATCATTTTCTTAAAGAGATTTTGTATTAATTATTAATTAAATTCAAWTTTTTAATGGCACACTTCGTTCCTTTGTATACTCCAGTGGCTGGGATTTTGATTGACATTTCAAAATTAGCATTTAATTACAGGATATGATGGTTTTACTGACGTATTTTCTGACACTTGAAGATGGAAAAAATGTTGTTTTTTTTTCATTTTTTCCAAGAATAAATCATGCACATGATCATGCACATGACCTTACTATTCATAGATCATGTAAGCTCCATTYTTAGCTATCAAACTGCTACTTCCAGTTTATATGTGTTTGATTTGTCATTGAAGTTATCCTCTTAATATAATTATAACTATTTCATGGTCAATTGCCAAGCATATCTAGAATGCCAGTTCCAGAAACTAATTCAGTAATGTTTGGGTAAGTTTAGTAGTTTATTTGTAATATTGATACTTTAATAYTTATCTCTGAGCGTGCTAAAGATAGTCCAATATCTACAAATATATTAATTTTATTTTATTTGAATTTTTCCTTCTGCCTTTACACACCTATAAGTTGTCATATTCATTTGTTAATGATTAAATTAAGAATCTTAAGATTGTGCATTTTAGGTAATATTATAATATGTAACATCTAATAAAAATACATGTATAGAATGCCAGTTCTAGCAACTAACTCTATATAATGTTAGGGTTAGTTTATAGTACTTTATTTGTAATTAATACTCTGAGGTGCTTAAGAGAGTCCGATATCTACAATTTATATTAATTTATATTTTATTTGAATTTTTCCTTCTGCCTTAAGCGCCTAATAGTTGTCACAATCATAAAATATAATACCCTTTTGGTACACTGATAATTACAATTAATAAAAACAATTTTATAAYGATTATTTCAAAAGTATGCAATATTTCAATTCAAATACTTGTATATTTGATTGACTCCAAACAATAAGTGAACAAAAACAAGGCTGTTTGATGCAGAATTCTAGGGATTTGTATACGTCAATAAACATAAAAGAGGCTTAACAAAAATAATCTGTGTAGTTGTTATATAATAATTTATTATTTTTAGACTGAGATGAAAAAATTTAAATTACATGCATGAGAGGTCTGAACTATTCTAGATCACATAGATTTACAATTCTTGATGTTTATAATGYAGGATTGTCAAGAAAAGGGGCAAGGTTGCAGCTTTATCTAAACTGATTGAAGGTAACAATGCTATTTTGCATTGAACAYAAATGATATTGCACTGTATAATACTATGTTGAATAATAGAGTGCAACTTTAAAGTACTGACTAAATATATCGACAAGTGCTAAATTAACCACAGCATAGTGTAGGTTATTCAATAGAAAACAATCATGGAATTCAGGTACAATTTAGCACTTTTAAATTACTAAAGTTTTCCATGGTTTTACTGTTTGCACTCTATTGATTCAGAATCATAATACATAAATGGTTGCTGTAATTTCAGCTTTTATCTTGCTCTACATTCCCACTGAACTTCACAACAGTCTGTGTCTGCACATGTATACAAGATTAGAGGGGTTCTTCACCAATGAAAATACTCATTTTTTGTAGGACTTGTGAGTGATTTTTTTGTCTCTGCTGTTTTAGATCAGGAAGAGTTCAAGTGTAATGATGAAGTCAACATACATGTTGGCATTGCTCACACTAGATGGGCTACTCACGGTGAACCAAATGAACTTAACAGCCATCCACAGAGATCAGGACCTGAGAATRGTAAGGAGTTATCAACTAAAGAACTACAAGTTGTAGTTACTGAGGCACAGATACAGCTTTTGATTTGGAAACTCTGTGRGTTTCMCTTTCTGGTGCCTTTTAGAAAGCTACTTGTTTAGGAGTATTACCTAGAGCTTGTAATAAGGAAGAGTTTGAAGTAAAAGCATTTTAAATTTACAACTTGCCAATTCAGTGAATGTCTCACTAATGTGTTTCATATCCATGCATGCATTTTAAGCCATAATGTAGTTTTAATTTTTCTTTATTAACTTAATTTGATTGCATACTCTACTTYTTCAGACTTTGTTGTAGTCCACAATGGAATTATCACAAATTACAAAGATATCAAAGTGTTTTTGGTAAGTTTTCTGAATATTCCATGCTTGATGCTTATTATTTTCAGCTTGGCTTACCATTCCAGGCATGTTTATTCTCTAATGAATTCAACATGTTGATATTAATTGCTATGCAGGAAGGCAAAGGCTTCAAATTTGAATCTGAGACAGACACTGAAGTTATACCTAAGTTAGCAAAATACTTATACAACAAATCTGTAAGTAGTATAGTTCTAACTAAAAGCACAATGATATTTTTATAATAATTATTATGGATAAGAACCAGGAATTTCCTGCTATAGACAACTGGTAAGAATATATAATTAATATATATTGATAGATGGTGCTATGCTTTTGCTAGTACTGTACGTGCAAAAAAAAATCCCACCCTCCCCTCCCCTGATGTAATGATCTTTTTTTTTCTGATTGACAGAAAGCAGAAGGCAAGGAGTTTTCATTTAGACAGTTGGTTGACATGGTGGTTTCTCAACTGGTTAGTTACAGTCAATGTAATAATGTCATTTATTCATTTATTTGTTCTCAATTTCACTTATCACTCAAGCTCACAGTCTACCAAGACTCTCATGTGTTTTGTAGTTGTCATGTAGTTTTAAAGCGCTTAGAACAGAATTGGATAAGCGCTATATAAATAGCATTATATATATTTATTACTTTGTCCATTCCTTGACACATTTATTTTTTTGGAATAAGATTAAAATATTGATATTTGTTTCCTCAATCATAAGTTTAATTATGGAGAACATGATAGCCTTTTCTTTTAAACACTTTTTTAAACACCTAGCTAAAATTTCTCTTGTCAGTCTCATCAATGAAGCTGTAGATGGTGAAAGATTATTTTTGAAAAACAAAAGCATTTGTTCCATTTTAATCCTTAGTGTTTTAATAATTGTAGGATAATATAGTGTTTTAATGATGTTATAAATAGTTATATTTTAAATTTTATATATTTCATAATAGTTTTAGTATTAGTTTAGGAGGGCCACAAGTTTATTAGTATTGTATAGTATTACGTGTTTACCCTCGTTAAATAAAGTCCTTACTTACTTACTTACTATAGATGTTTTTACTATCATACATGTACATTATTTAGTAAGGCTTCAATCGAACCTACTCCATTTACTCCAACATGCTGCTGAGGGACAACTTTATTGGCATAAGTTTAATCAATATAATTTAAGGGATTATGTACATTGTTTTGGGAGGGCAACCTCATGGAAGAGGCAGTACTGCAGGGAGTGATACATGTAGACTTTGCAAAATATTTTAAAAGAGTGTGTTTGCATAATTTATAGGAAGGGGCATTTGCTTTAGCGTTCAAGAGTACTTACTTTCCAGGACAAATAGTTGCCACAAGGTAAGCAAATAGATCTTTTGAAAGTTGTAATGTCAAGGCAATTTACCTATTGGATCCTTTATCCATTCAGACGTGGTAGCCCACTGCTTATTGGAATTTCTAGCAATAAGCCTCTGAAAGCAGATAAACTTCCAGTTCACTACAGTGAAGGTAACATTGTGAAGTTGATATTTGTTTGCTTTGCTTTGCTTTGCTTTGCTTTGCTTTGCTTTGCTTTGCTTTGCTTTGCTTTGCTTTGCTTTGCTTTGCTTTGCTTTGCTTTGCTTTGCTTTGCTTTGCTTTGCTTTAGTTTGGTTTGGTTTTTTGTTTTGTTTTGTTTTGTTCAATTGTTTTGTTCAATTGTTTTGTTTTGTTTTGTTTTGTTTTGTTTTGTTCAATTGTTTTGTTCAATTGTTTTGTTCAATTGTTTTGTTTTGTTTTGTTTTGTTTTGTTTTTTTGTATGTGTGAAAATGATGGAACAGAATTCGTCACACAATTTTTGTAGTATCTTTTTCGTATTTGTTTAATGTTATTGTTTACAATTTATATGGTGTAATTTGTTTTGTCAATGGAAAAATATCAAGTGAAATTATTCCTCATCCTGTGTTTTTTCTCCTATTGCACTTACAAAATTTATGTGTATATTTATTGTATGATAATAACTCCATTAAACTAAAATAAAATAAACTATTTAAGTTGACATTATGTAAGTAAAAGGCTGAATTTATGAAAATGCTGCTTTTAAACTTTATAGTGCATTTAAATTAAACTTCTTWAGTTGAATTTCTGCCTAAATTATTTTAGCATCCATTTTGGCTTGAAAATAAATAAATAATTGTTTAGTAGTAAGTTTTAACTTCATTAAGCTACAAGCAAAAGATTAAACAATGATTTGCTTTGATATTACAGTGAGCATTATTGTAATACTTTTGAATAGCAGGCAACATAAACTGGTTTAAACAAATAAGCTTTTACGAACTAATGCCCTTTACAACTTATTAACCGACTTATTAACCTCATAAAGTGCAAAATTAACGATTTCYATGCAGCTGTACCAGTTTGCAATCCTACATCTGCTTGACTTGACTAAAAAAAAATCACTCTGACAACTCAAAATCATTTAAAGAGCAGAGAAAAGCAAAAGGCTTTCACAAATAAGGAGCTCTCTGATTAACATCCTCTTGTAGCTTCTTGTCTTTAGAATAATGCATTCTCTAAAAGTAATGCTGTCCTCTCTCATCTTGCCTTTCATGTGGTGCTGGGAATTCTAGGGCATAGTTTAGATGATTCTCTAGGTAAGTCCACACTGAATTTTTAACTAGAGTCATCTTGAGCTCTATTGTTTTTTGGTTAATGCGTCAGTCATTTATAAAACAATGGCCCCCAATCTCACTGTGTTCTACTGGGAGAAATTGATATTTCAACAATTTTAAAGTCCTGGCATTTCCTGGCCAAACAGATCTTTTCCTTCAAATTAGACATCAATTCCRCCGACTTCTTCTTGACCATGCTGAATTAARATAGTTTTAAATTTCCYTTCTGTAATGTRCATTTATTCTCTGGCTTTCCCCAGRGTTTKGRGGAGCAGTTCYCAGKGTTTGGGGGCCAGTGTTTCAATTGACTAATGCATAAAGGAATAAGTCCCTTCATGGAGTAAAATGAGATTGAGATGAAGCATTTTAAGCRACTTATTTGAGTGAGAAAGTCAATAAATGGTGAGAAACACATTTAAAGCAGTGCACTAAGCCAATATGCTTCTAGATCTGCTTTCTTGCTGCAATTAAAATTGCTAAAATCTCTCTGGTTCTTCATCTCAGCTTACTTCACTAATGAAAGAAYTATGKRATGGCCAGGGGACTTTTTCCTTGGGCATCCCATAATTTCARCAAGATTCWACATAGCAAAGAGGTTATCTATCTTAAAATATCTTCATTGCAACTTGGTTGGCTGTGGATGTCTAAATGAATCAGCTGCCAGATATGGCAATTTTGTACAGCAGTGTACATTTAATTACAGATCCTTTCAATATTAAAATTATACAGAATAAAGATATTAATATTAATACAGCAATATGCAGAAATTATGATCATTTTGACTCATATTGCAAGTATATATAAATTAAAATATATCAGAAGAATTATGGGATATCATCACCAATATTTTTTTGAAGTTGCCAAGCACCAGCACTTTCTGAAAAAAATATTGGCGACGATATCCCATAGTTTCTAATATATTTTATATATACTTGAAATATGAGACAAAATGATCGTAATTTCTGCATATWGCTGTATTGTTAATGATCAATATTAGTCCTAATGTTTCATTACTAACAGATATAACTAATGATAGTTAATAACTAATATTTAAGTAATTTCACAACGAATGCAATTGATGACAATAAGTATAGGATTTCCACTATTCAATGAAAATAATATACAATATCTCAAATATTTGATGGGAATTTGCTTATATTATGCTCAAGTGGCATTAAAACATCAAATGTTTGCAGTATTTTTCATCAATTTTTTGAGAAGTAACATGGAAATTCCTATTAATGTCACATCTGCATAAAATGCAAGTCTCTGATAAAAATAAAATCGTACAGCAACGCCATGCCAGGACCGATTTGTGCAACAATTAATAGCACATAAGCATTTTACGTAGATATTTAATATTTTAATTAAGTTCAGAAATATCAGGTACACTACTTTCAAATTATATTATAAAATATATAAGGATTTATATAATGTTAGAGTGAGGTCATTATTCTCGTGAAACAGATCTTCACTATTACAGTGTGATARTCAAATAGACACAAAAGAAAACAATGCAATTAGAKMRTACTAAGGTGTATTAGTGTAATATCTRTTTCACAAGGTTTTGATCTTCACTCTAGCATTCAGAACTTCATCAAATGATTCTAATTATTAAATATAATTCAATAATTATAACGTATAACTAATACAGCACATTTAATTTAGCATACAAGTGTTGATGTTGAATGTGTGATATCTGGTTTTGTACAGCTCCGGACAGCGCTGAAGTCATCAAGAAGGACGAGGATGATGTCTTTAGTGACAAGTTAACTATCTTACATGAAGAAGGGGCTTCGATTGAATACTACTTTGCGTCTGATGCAAGGTACTTCGTGGCATAAACAACACTCTGAGTTTAGAACAGTAATAGGCAAAATTGATAGGAGAAGCCGCCCCATCCAGTTCTCTCAAAATCACTGTTTATATAGGAGTTTTTTTTTCCTGGGAATAGGATTTTGAACTACAAGATTCTGACAAGCAAATCAAGACATTTCCCTAGGAACTGCTAACCAGAACAAAACGCGCGGTCTTTACGCCACTATATAAGAATTGAACACTTCATTTCATAATCTTATCATTAACAGACATTTAGATCCTATAGCCACTCAGAAACGGTTTTTAGCAAGAAAAATTGTGCTTTCCTTGAAAAAAGTTTTAAAAACCTCTAGTATTCCTAAGAAACATTGTTATTTCTGAATGCAATAATGTTGCTTTTGTACTATTTTATGAAAAAACACGATCATCATGATGGAAGTTCTTGTACGTTTAGTTTTGGTCCATTTTATGGTTTGACTGACAGTTTCTTTTCCTGGATTTTAGTGCTGTTATTGAATACACAAACAGRGTGATATTCCTGGAAGATGATGACGTCGCCGCAGTGGTTGATGGAAGTAAGTACTTTTCATTGTCCTCTCAAATAGTCTTCTTCACAGTTCTCTGCGACCTCTTGAAAGGTAGCCGTGCCTTTGCATCGAAGCGAGACGACCGTTGAGCTTGCAATGATAGAAACCTTCTTTTACACCTACAGACAATTATTCACAGGTATCTATCATTGCACGCTCCACGTTTGTCTCGCTTCGATGTAAAAGAACGGCTACCTTTCAAGATGGCGCATGGGAGGACAAGTGTCAAGGACACTATTCCCCTGTTCTTTGCTCTGTTTGTCTCTATCTAATACAACTCGGTATTATTCTTTTCTGTGTAGATTTGACAATTCATCGTCTTAAGCGTGATGACGACACGGATGATGACTATTATCGCTCGGTACAAACACTACACTTGGAATTACAACAGATTATGAAAGGTAATTGTGGATTGTTATGTAAAGGCGATGTTTTTAGGTTCATCGCTTTCCTCACTAAAAAAAGATACATCAAAAAAGTTAAAGAAAAAGGGACCATGAAGCTCAAATATAATGTTCATCGTTTGACTCCATTCTCTTTTTTGTTATTCTTGTTCTTCTTGTTCATGTTATTATTATTCTTGTTCTTCTTGTTCTTGTTCTTGTTGTTCTTGTTGTTATTGTTGTTCTTGTTGTTCTTGTTGTTCTTGTAGTTTCTGTTGTTCTTGTTGTTCTTGTTGTTCTTATTCTTGTTGTCCTTGTTGTTCTTCCTCTTCGTGTTCTTGTCACCATTATTTTAACCATCATAAACCAGGCTTAAGATTTTGCACAATGCAATTGTTTTTGTACACATTCTTGCAGTTATTTTGTTAGTCATTTCAGCATCTATAATCTCTGCTCTTTTTTCCAGGCAACTTTCAGTCTTATATGCAGAAAGAAATATTTGAACAACCTGAGAGTGTTGTGAACACAATGAGAGGACGTGTCAAGTTTGAGGAAAACAGCGGTAAGGTTGATTACATCGCGACTTTTGAAATGTTGCTGGACTAACCACGAACATGAGAATTTTGGAAACAATAGATAGTACGTTTTCTTTTCCTACTGAGCCTCGTTCACAATTCTTTTTTGCATTACCATTCAACCAGAATTTTGGAAGTGGGCATGTTTTTAACAAACAGCTTCAATAACCATTTTTTCATTTTTTCATTCATCCATTTATTTATCAGTCATTCCCATCTTTTACGTCTAGTGCTTCTCGGTGGTTTACGTAGTCACATGAGTACCATAAGAAGATGTCGTCGTATCATGATGATCGCTTGCGGAACAAGCTTTCATAGTGCTGTTGCTGTAAGTAGTAACGTAACGTAACGTAACGTAACGCAACATTACATAACGTATCACTACGCACAGAAATGTAATGTGAAGTACTTAGTTTAATAACACAGAGCATTACGAAAGGCAACGTATAAATCCATAACGTCTCAATCCTTAACGTAACGCAAATTTACATAAAGTATCACTACGTACAGAAACGTAATGTGAAGTGTATGAAATAGCAATTTTAACATACACAGAGCATTACGAAATGCAACCTATCAATCCATAACGTAACGTAAGGCCTACCGTAACGTAAGGCGTAACGTAAGATATGTCTTATGGATGTTTATGTGTTTGAAAGAGCTGTTTCAATGTACAGAGCATTACATACGAAAGGTAAAGCATCAGTATGTGACACTATAAAAGAGAACGTATGAGATGTTGTCTTACGGATTKTTATGTGTTWCTTYAGACAMGGCARCTTCTCGAAGAACTTACAGAACTACCAGTTGTGGTAGAATTGGCCAGCGACTTCCTGGACAGAAGAACACCAGTCTTTAGGGATGATGTTTGTTTCTTCATCAGTCAGTCAGGTACACAGTTTAATTCCGAAATTAATCGCGAAATGTCATATTTATATACGAACAAAGAAATATGGTTCCATTGTAGGAGAGACAGCAGACACCCTGATGGCTCTAAGATACTGCAAAACACGTGGAGCATTGATTGTYGGAATTACAAATACAGGTATCGGTTTTTACTGTTTCGCCTTGTTTCTACATCATATTTTCGTTTCGTTTCGTGTAGTTTCACTTTTGTTTGGTCAGTTTCGTTGTTTTCCTTTGTTTCGTCGTCTTTCGCTTCTTGTTTCTCTTTAGTTCCATTTTTAGTTCCATCTTTGTGTTTCATCTTTTCTCCCTTTTTGTTTCGAGTTTTCATAGTGCTGTTTCTGTGAGTAGTAACGTAACAGTAACGTAACACAAGTTTACATAACGTATCACTACGTACAGAAACGTAATGTGAACTACTGTATGAAACAGCAGCTTCAAGGCAACGTATCTCCTTTCACTTTTCCTCTGGTTCAATTCCCTTATTTCGTTTCTCCAATTTTCCATTTCTAATCGTTGTAATTCTGTTGTCTTAGTTGGCAGTTCCATATCACTTTTTCTTTCTTTCAATTCCCTTTTTTCATTTCTCTAATTCTCCATTTCTAATCGTTATGATTCTGTTGTGTTAGTTGGCAGTTCCATATCAAGAGAAAGTGTTTGTGGAGTTCACATCAACGCGGGACCAGAAATCGGCGTCGCCAGTACAAAAGTAAGTTCATTGTTGCTGTTACGCCAGTATTAATCTTTCAGTTTGATGTTTGGCACCTTCAAGGGCCTTATCAAACGGCATTCAAAGGGTCGTGGTTTAGATATTTCATATATCGAAAGTGTAAATAAGATGACTTCAAACATCCATTCGCAATACATTTCCATACGTCGATTTTAAGATCAAATTTTACAATATATCCATTCATAGAGCATAAGCGAATATTAAAGAGCGAGTTTTTGCTTATATTTCGATGTAGTTTTATTTTCCAACATAAACAAGCTTACAAGTAAAATGGATTGACCGTGGCTCCTTACAATTGTCATCTCAGTGATGTTTTGGTATTTTGTTTTTGTTTACAGGCATACACAAGTCAATTTCTAGTTCTCATCATGTTTGGGTTGATGATGGCTGAAGACAGAATCTCAATGCAAGCTAGAAGGAGAGAAATTATTGCTGGAATGAARCGACTACCAGGTACAATAAACTCAAGTTTACTATTTCGTCTCCATTGTGTGGGGAACAGAAATGTTGTTGCTATTGCTGCTGTCGTTGTTGTTGCTATCGCTGATGTCACTGTTATTGTTTCTGCTGTTATTGCTGTTGTTGCTGCTGCTGCTGCCGTTGTTGTTATTGTTGTTGCTGTTGTTGTTGTCACTGTTATTATTGCTGCTGTTGCTGTCGTTGTTGTTGCTGCTGTCATTGCTGTTGTTGTTGCTGTCGCTGTTGTCACTGTTATTGAGTCGCTGTTATTGCTGTTGTTGTTGTTGTTGTTGTTGCTGTTGTCGTCGCTGTTATTGCTTTCCTTTCATGTTTTTATTTATGCATTGCAATTCTTCCTATTGTCCAAGTTTTTGAGCTCATGTCTCCATTATTACTGTAATCTGTTTCTCATCTATTTTATAGAGTTGATCAAGGAAGTCCTTAAGTTAGATGGAGAGATCAAATCGCTTGCAGAGGAACTACACAAACACAAGAGTTTGTTGGTCATGGGAAGAGGATTCCAGTTTGCAACATGTTTGGARGGTGCTTTGGTAAGACTGCTACATGGGCTACCTGTGTTAGGCTTAACCACAGGAAACCCAGTAACATCTTAATTTGAATAAATCATGATATCTAATAGTCCAGTCCTGGCCTCCTTTCGA